GCCTGGTGGCACCCAGATGAGTAACAAAAATGTCCTGATAGCAAAGAAAATGAAGCGTGTGGGATTTCTAAATGACACGAGACCTTATGCATAATATTGGAGAGTAACACTGGGGTGCTGCCTCTTCTTGTGAGTCCCTTTAGGGAGCTTGAGTGTGGGATTCAGTTTTAGCTCGCTTGTTCAAAAGAAAGGACATTGTATAGCTTTTCAAGTTTAGGCATCAGCAGAAAAATAGGCAGTGATGTACTTTAATCTTAAAGAGCATCAAAATAACGTTCAGGTTGAAAATTAAGCCCATGGTGGAAGTTAGGACTAGAGTGGTACCTCTAAAATAGCTCTGTATTCTTATCCAGGGCTGAGCTCCTTCTGCACAATATTAAATAAATGTTCACTTCTTATTCCTTTCCTTCTTTGCACTGTGGATTAAATGCCAGACTCTGATTCCTTACAAAGAGCTGCCAATGTGAGAGAAGCTTTAGGAGATGAGCTTTGGGAGGAAGGGGAGGGGCAGCTGAACTTTGGTATTGTTTTTGTATGTAGATTTTCTGACCACTTTTACAGCCTCCAGGCTGGAAATAACCATAAAAGATTTAGATTCATGAGAGAACTCGATAAAAACCCTTGATATTTCATACAGGGGCTTGTTACTCCAGACCGAGCTATTTCTGAATCATTTCAAGTATGGACACTTACTCTAGGATAAATTATTCAGGATCCCTTCTTTCACCTTATATTTGCAGGCTTTTAAATTCCAGCATAACTTTGTAGAGAAGCCTCTTCCTGAATTTTGGTCCCTTATTCCTCCTCTCATCTATATGCCAGTAGAAAAAGATTGATCGCCTAAATGGGTACTCCCTGTCGAGATTCATACAGCAGAAAGTTTATACTCCTGTATTTTTAATATGTAGAATACTATATATTTAGTACATGGTTTGAGTATATAAATGTGGACAGGTGCTCCTTTCCAAGAATATTTGAATGTTCTTTTTCTTTGGCTCATGGGTTCACAGGTTTAGGTTTTGTTTGGCATCCATTTTCTTGCTGCTGCTTTTAAGATCTTCAACTAAATTCTGATTCACCAAGTTGGAGAAGTGACCTGATTAGCGGAGGCAGCCATTCAGTAGAGACAAGTGCAATATGCTGCTCTCAGCTGCGCAAATGGACTGTGGAGAACTGGCCGAGTAACAAGAAGTGGAAGCCATTGTGGGCCACAAGTTTTAACCTGAGGTTGGCTCAGGTGAAGAAAAGACTGTGCTGGGATGTAGGCAGGGGGGAACTCTCCTGATTTCCCAGCAGATGATGGCTTAGCTGCAATATGGTCCAGCACTTCAAGACAGACATGTTTGAGTTGGAGAGAGCCCAACTGGAGGGAGTCCAGAGGACCAGCAAGAATAAGGAGAGCTCTAGAAAACATGGTCTGCAAGGAAATATTGCACAAATTGGGATTGTTTAGCCTAAAGCAGAGAAGGGGGAGGAGGTGTTAAACTCCCCAAGACTATAAGAGGCTGCTGGAAAGAGGAAGGGAATAATATGTTCTCCATATGCCTGCTAGATAGAACTAGAAATAATAGCCTTATGTTGCAGCAGGGAAGATTTAAGTTAGATATTGCAACCAATAGATTGCCTGGGGAGATATTTAACAGCAGATTAGACAAACATCTGTCAGGACCGACAGTAAGTATAGTTGGCCTTGACTCGAGCAGAGTGTGGACTAAGCAATTTATTTGAGATTTCTTCAAGCCTTGTGGTAGCCGATTAGATTTTAAACTAATACCACTTCCAACTTCAGTTGCTGTTAAACGCTTCTTTAATATTAATGTTAATAGTGTTTAATGGTTTCCCCTCGACTGTACCAGACTCTACAGATGATAGTTGCTGGTTCTTCCATCCAGAAAAGCTTGGCTCATGAGTTGCTTTGCTTTAGTATGGGTGGTTGTTGTTACTGAAGGCCACATTAATCAAAGGCAATTGGTGCTGCCCAACTGATAGCACTGAGTTAAAAAATCCACAGGTGTTGAGTGATGGGTATTTGATATTATTCTCTCTCCTCGTGGCTTGTGCACACATACACGGTTGCACATACAAAACCGAAGCGGGGATGTGATACCTAAAGGAGGCACCTCTGGACTAATGTAATCCAGGTTTAAAATGCCACAGAGCATCCAAGCACACAGCACTGCACTGGTTTAACCATGCTGCTGCTGTAGTTCGGCAGCGAAAGGCTTTGCCTGCGCAACGATACACCAGAGAGGATGAGCATGTGTGGTCAGTGCCGTCACCAAACAGAGCTGGTGGCAGTGACATCCGAAAGGAGACCGAGCCCTTGGTCCCGCTGGCCATGATTTATAGATTAAAACAGGTGATTTGCTTTATTTGTTTGCCTTTTTCTCAGTGGATGGCACTTTTCAAGCACTAGATGAAGTGGGTGCACTGGATGAATCAAGCGCTAAAGCTCGCTCAGACAGTCTTTGTTTAACTCCCCAGTTCCCAAGGCAGAGAATGAAGTCCCGTCCCCAGCCTCTTCCCACCACAGCAGCAACCAGCCGGCCTCGCTGACGGAGGAGAAGCGAACGCCGCAGGGCAGCCAGAACTCCCTCAACACCGTCAGCTCGGGCAGCGGCAGCACCCGCGGGATTGGCAGCCGCAATCGTCTCGGCGGTGAGCAGGCCGGAGGCGGGGACGACGTTCGGTAAGTCTCGGGGTTTTTTCAACGCGCCTCAGATGAGACGCAGATTTGAGCGCTGCAGCGCAAGGGAGGCGAGTGGGGATCTGTTTAATTAGAAGTCGTGAGCATGCCCTAATTAATGTAATTAATAGCTTAATCGGAGGCCAAGCCTTGGTAGGTGTTTGCCTCCTGGGTTTTGTTCAGCACTGAGTCAAGAAAAGCAAAATGAGAAATCCCAATCTGAAGAGCAAAAATACCACCGGTGGCAATGCCTGATGCTCCCTGAAGCTCGGGCTCTCCCTGCTAGCTGGACGCCTTCCT